AATGCACGAGACATTATGACATGCAAAATGCTTATTGCAAAATAAACAATATTTTCGATGCACGAACGTGCTGCAAAATGTATAATTTACAGTTTCCCAAGGGATACAGACAGCCAATAATAAAAGTACAAATAATATCTCCAGAAAGAAAGACATTTTTCCAAACAAATACTTCTAAAACAGTCGAAAATCCTGCGGCAATGATGTCAACGAAATCACTCCAGTTGTTAAAATAATTGCACTTGTAACACAATAATGCGAAAAGCACATACTGGTATCGGCTGATAGCACAGAAAAAATTCCGGACCATTGATATAAATTAATAAATGCATCACACTCGAATAAGATGAAGATCGACCATGTTCACTGGTTCGATCTAAACTTGTGCATGGTAAAAATGAATTTTGTGCGCAGAAGAAAAATAGTAAATTAAATTAACAACAAATAACAAGTGCGAACAAGTTTTCGAAACGGTCGAGTACAAAATTCGTAGCGCAATTGATCCGAACCGAGAACAGATTTGGCGTTGAATTCCGATTACAAATGAAACAACGAAAACCATCTTTCTGAATGAAAAAAGTGAGCTAACCAAAAAAAAAGAAAAGAGTCGAAACTGGACGAAAATGGATAAAAATGAAAACACTACCATCTTTTTTTTTGTTTTTTTTTTTTTATTACCCTCGTTACTTGCGCTACCACCGTTGTCTACGAATGTGCCTTTTTTACGTTTCCCTTCTTCTGTTCGCAATTCTTTCCGTTCGTTTGGTACTTGTTTCTTTCAAAATCTGTTTCTTCTTTGTACTTTCTTTGGCGTTTTTTTTTCTAACACTCACAACCTTCCAGGTCTCCGGGACGAAGGAATGGTCGGCGACCCTTGAAATATGGAGGACCTCGGAGGCCGAGGATGAGAAGAATGTCCGGGAAACGACGAAATTATCCGGAACGTGAATGAGGTGACAAGCAAAATCGAGAAGAAAGAAGATGTGGGTGAAACGAATAGTGGAAGAAACAAATTTTTCTAGCTGAGAAAAGAAGCAACGACGAAGAAGAACGCGGGAACTGATATAACCGAATATGTTTCAAGATCCGTAATGAGTTCGATGCAGAATAATATAGTAACTAATGGAAATATTAAGGATACACTGTACACTGTTTAAACAACGACAGGGAGAATCGTAAGGAACGGCAGAAAATGGAATCACTTAAAATGACATCAGAAAATGGGAAGAATGTGAAGAAGGAAATTCCAACGAATGTGAGCAGTACATAATATAAGACAGAAGAAGACGAAGATAAATACGGTAAAAGTAAAAGAAGACAGAAGAAAATAAGGATAAATATGGAAAAAATGAAAGAAGATAGAAGAAAATAAGAAGAAATACGGTGGAAGTGAAAGAAGATAGAAGAAAATAAGAATAAATACAGTAAAAGAAAAAGAAGATAGAAGAAAATAAGGATAAATACAGTAAAAGTAAGAGAAGATAGAAGAAAATAAGGATAAATACAGTAAAAATAGAAATNAAGTAAAAGAAGACAGAAGAAAATAAGGATAAATATGGAAAAAATGAAAGAAGATAGAAGAAAATAAGAAGAAATACGGTGGAAGTGAAAGAAGATAGAAGAAAATAAGAATAAATACAGTAAAAGAAAAAGAAGATAGAAGAAAATAAGGATAAATACAGTAAAAGTAAGAGAAGATAGAAGAAAATAAGGATAAATACAGTAAAAATAGAAAT